GCTTGTACAAGTTTTGCATCATGTGCCTGCCACTTTCAAGAGGCCAATGGAGTGAATGGGCTACAATGGGAGAATGCCTGATTTATGTCAACAATGTTTTGATGTTTTGTTGCACATTCAAATCTGTAGCTGAGAAGACTAAAAATGGTATTCCAGTGAATATAAAAGGCAGACTTCACAGAGTGAAACCAGGAAAATGTATGTTTCATGCACACAGAAATGGATTTTTTTATTATAATGCAGGTAGAGATGAAACCTCCGTGGATTCTGATAAAATAGTACCGTGTCCAAGCAAGAAGTCTGTATTTTCCAAGGTTTTTCACCATACTATTAACAGTGTCGCCAAGATCTGCTTTCATTTTGTATTTACATTGTGGAAAGTTTGTATTTGTAAGATACTAAAGTGCATACTCACCAGATTTTATGAAAATACTTGTTATAACTAGACAAAAAACTAATATAAAATGTTCAAAAAATTTTAGAACATCTTATATTGAAGGTACTCTCAGTCACCTGGGTTGAACATCACTCCTGTGCCATTTTCAAAGCATTATGTTGCTGTCTTACCTAATATATTATTTAAAATTTATGAGGATTAAAGTTTTCTTAAATACTATTTAGTATTTCCAACATATAGGTGATTAAAATAATTCCTAAACAAATAACTAATGCTAGAAAATGACAACCATGCATATTTAACCCATTGACTGTGGCTGCTCTACAAGCACATGGAATTTTTGCAAGCCGTACACTGTACACAGCACACTCGCATTCAACTGCTGGGGGCAGACCATACCCTATATGGTGAATAAGCAGTCTATGGGTTAACAACGGTTCTATAATTCTTTTGTTTTCCATTTCTAGCTACAGTCCATGGTTTATAATAGATGCATGATTTTTTGCCATGTTTCTGAAATGTATAATACACTTGAAATAAATGTTTACAAAACTTCTAAGGAACCTGTATAAAAATTACTTCAGAAACAAGCATGAATCCATCTATGCTGTATGTAATTTTTAAAGTAATTCTTGACCACCATAATTAGTTTTATCTAGGTTATACTTTTAAATGTGGTAAACATGTAAATACACAATAGTATACTTCAAATAACTGTTTATAATGTTTCAAAGAAATAATTTAATCTTGTAGATAAAGGACTGTAACTGTATAAATATCAGCTGACCACTAGCTAACCTCTTTTGATGGACTACCTACCAGCCATTATCCATCTATATTAAAAGACCTACCAGCCACTATCCATCCTGTATTAAAAGACATACCAGCCACTATCCATCTGTATTAAAGACTTACCAGTCACTATACATCTGTATTAAAAGACCTACCAGCCACTATCCATCTGTATTAAAAACCTACCAGCCACTATCCATCTGTATTAAAAGACCTACCAGCCAATATCCATATAAATGTAAAAGACCTATCAG